TTAGTAGTCCAGGGAATATCGTAACTCGTGTGCTTAAGAATTACTTTATTTACGAGGGTTATCAGGATTATATAGAGGATGAAACATTAAAACGAGCCACAAGATTTTATCTGCTTTGAGAAAATATGACAATGTCTAGCCAAAGACATTAAAGAAAGACGCTCATTGGGAGGCAACCCAATTTCTTTTAGTTATTTGTTCATTTTTGTTCGTTAGTTTAGATATATTTTTCCTTAGATTTGACTGATTTATGGCTTCAATTCTCGTTTTCGATGATTCATAGGTATTTCTTTGACATGACGTGCTTGCGCCAACTTGGCGCGTGATCTCCTGGTGCTTGGTAAAAAAAAGGGTTCCAATCCCCTTGACGTGCCCGCGTCAAGTCACATGGAGAGCTCACGGTCAGAAGGGTTCTTGCCCTCATGACGTGCCCGCATCCAGTCACCTGGAAAGCTCCTCCTTCTGTGCCTTCATGGCGTGCCCACGTCACGTTCACGGGAGAGATAAGTATTTAAAAAACTCAAGAACAGTTGTTGATTGTCGGTTAATCTCTGCTTTTGAATCTCAAAAATAAAATTTGTCAATGAGAAAAAATTTTCAAAAAAATTCAAAAAAAATTAAAATTTTTTTTAAATTTTTGTTTCACCGTAGCTTAGATTTTCAGAGTATAATTTTTTTTAACTAAAAAACAAAAACAAAAACAATTTCTCTTTCTCTTTCTTTTTCTTCTTTTCTTCTTTTTTCTTTGTTTCTTTCTTCTTTCTCTCTTCTCCCTTGTTTCTTCCTTTTGCTCGACGCAAAACCTCTGTCCGTCGCACCCATCGATCCGCCGCCATCTCTCTCTCTTTGCCCACCCTCGCATGCACGCTGCCACCACTAGCTGTCCTTTGGCCCCGACATCATTCTCTGTCACAACGATTATTTGGTAGCTTCCAATGGTGGAGGTACTCGAACTCCAATTCCAAGTCTTTAATATTGTTTGATGCTGCTTGTGCGATTAACTGTCCAACTAGAGTCATTTGATGAAATTTTGGGTGGGCTGAAATTTTGCATTTGTCTATTGATCATTGGAAGGCATCTCTGCCAGTGTTTCGATTACTAAAGTTTTGGTTCAATTATTTCTGATATTGCCTATTGAATTGGGGCCTTGTGCCGCGTGATTTACTTTGTGAGATTGGTCATCACTAATTGCATTACTGGGGACATTCTGGCGATTGGTTCATATTGCTAATTTGGGGACCATTGTCTGTGCTTTCGATTATTTTATTTGTGCATGTGATTGTCAAGCTGCTCTAAATCCTTCTTTGGCCGATTGTTGACTTCAATGGCCGGGGTTGAATACTTATCGTGTTGGTATTTTTCTTTGGGTATTCTTTCTTTGCTAGTGGGTGACTACATACTTGGTGCTATTGCTCTACTACTGCTTTGCTCTGCTTTAGCAATTTCTTTGGTTTTGTATTGTGATTTGCACCAGTGGTACTGGTGGGGTAATTGGACCTCAATTGGGTGCCTCTATTTGGTTGGCTGAGTGATTATTGTCAAATATCTAAGCTGTCATTGTTGAAATTGCTGATTCTAAGTTAAGGCATTAACTGGCCAACTGGAACCATTTGTTGAGATTTTGGGTGTACAGAGTCTTGCATTTGCTGGTTAGATTGAGCTATGATGTCTCAAAACTTGGGCGTGTACTTCCACTACATCGGTTTCCCTCCACCATCCCCGCTTGCCCCGTAGCCACTCGAGAGGGAAGTTTCGTTGTCCTCTTCGTTTTAATTGCTTTAATCCCTCCATTGAGGACAATGTAGGATCTAGGTGTGGGAGGGATAGCTGCGCTAGTTTTTTTCTAGTTTTTAATTTCCAGATGTTCTTCTTTTATTTTTAGTTTGTTATTTGTCTAGTCTTCGTTTACTTTCTTTTTTTTAATGAATACCAAAGTTTGATGTTGGATTGTTGTCTCTAATTCTGCTATTGCCAAGTTTTAATAATAAAAGGGTATCAAGTTAATGTGGTTGAATTCAAGAACATCTCTTTAGTGAATATCGGTGATTGTTTTACTCTTATAATTTTTAGTTAACTTTTCTAGGCATAGGGAATGATTGTTGGCATTTTCATGTGAATTGGTCCGGTTATTAATCTCAGTTCTCCATGTTTGAAAATGAGACTAGCTGATGTAAATTCTCTTTTGATTTTTGTGTTATTTTGAGTTTTTGTGTTATTTGGCTGTGAATAAGAGTTAACTGTGCTCCGCTAGTCTTTACTACCGAGTAACCTGGGATCTTCATCAAAAGTGTCGATTCTTGCGTCAAAAAGTAGTAATTACTATAAGTACGTGGTCACGTGACGATAGAAACTGAGTAACCGGGCTCTTTCATCTAACAAATGTCAGAGTTCGAGTCAAAAGGCTTCCATGGCTATAAGACTAAGTCTTGTGCTACTATTGAAAAAAAAAAGAAAAAAAATACCAAAAAAAGGTGATGATTGTGTTAATGTGTGATAAAAGTCAGCTTGCCGATTTATGGATTTAATGTTGAGATTTTGGTTAATAGTTAGACCATTCGCTGATAAATGATGAGCGATCACTCTTTTTTCTTAGATTAGTTAACCTGAAATTGGAAGAGTTTATGGTTTAAAAGCTAACCGAAGTGATGTTTCTTGGACTTGACCATTGATGCTTGATTATTATTTTTCTTGGTATCTTGACAATTTGGTGGATAGAGCAATAGCCACTATCAAATATTGGTGTTTGTTTGTTGTTCTCATGCTCGAGGACAAGCATGGTTTAGGTGTGGGGGGAATTGATAGGTTATAATTTTACCATTTATTTTATTATTAATTTTCCCTATTATCTGGCCTGATGTGGATTAATTGCTAGATTCTACTCACTTTTGATATTTTGCATTTATTTCAGGAAGTACAACGAAAATATCATATCAAGTGCCAATTTGACAGTCATTAGGAAGGAGTTCAAGTAGCAGGCGTCCAGGGATATTTTTAAAATATCAAGACGCGACCCTCTTTGGTAATTTACGGAAGACAGCATAAAAGAAGTAAAGGAACGCAGGGCTGTGCTCTTCTTCCTCTCGGGTGGGAGCCGCCGCCAGAGGATGGCAATTTTAGATAGGAATAGGCATTAGGAGCAGGAGAGAACTTTTTCTCCTTTAGCTTAGCTTTTGTTGACTTTTCCCTTGGATCTCCTTTTGCTTTTGATTCTTACGGATGTCAAGAGCAAATTGGAAGCCTTTGACTTTTCCTTTCATCTTGAGTTTCTTTTCTTTTCTTTTCTTTTCTTTTCTTTTCTTTTCTTTTCTTTTCGGTAGGAGTAGACAAGGGATGAGTTAAATCCCTTTGTCTAGTCAAGGAACAATGGAGGCTTTGATTCGCCTGAAGATTGTGAGATCGATTTAATTTTATCTTTTCTTTTATTTATTGGTATTTGCATATTCTCTGATTGCAGTACTTATGGTTATTTAATTAATTGATTGTTTTGGATCCGGATAATTAGTTAATTTGGTAATCTATTGAAAATTAGGGTATTAAATCCGTAATTGTTTAATTGCCTTGAAACAGTGACAACTGGCATGATTAGATTTGTGTCAGGAGAATACGCAGGCTAATCTAAAATAACCCTGGTAGTGCGTTATTTGATTAGAATATGGCTTCTCTAATATGTAAGGCAATTGGGGAATTAAATCTTATGGGCGTACCTAAGATTATTTCTCAATTAGAGTAGTGATTAACGAGCGTACTTTGATCACCGACACAGTAAGGAGGGGTTGACTGTCATCGCTTGTTTGACAGTTATAACCTATTTATCAGTAAATAATTGGAATTGCCTTTGCATCAATGATCAATTAGGTGAACCATTGTTGAAATTATTTCTTGGCTAGATTATTAGTTATCATTCATTTGACTTTAGTAAATTGTTATTTAATTTTTAGTAGTTTCTTGGATTTTATTTGCACTTATTTGATTGTCACCTTCTACATAAAAATACCCCCTGGTTACTGTGGATTTGAAAAGAAACAGTTATACCCAATCCCTATGGATTCGACCCTACTTACCACTATCTACAGAAATTAACTTTAGCTGAGCAGGTATTTATTATTGAACAGGCTGATAACCTGTCATGCACAGATCAAGCTTCTTTACAATGACCACTATAAAAAGGAAAAATGTAAAGAAACATGGGATGATGCTTCCTCTTGTCAATGAGATGTAAAGGAACTTGTTCGCCTTTCGATGCCAATGAGATTGTTAGCCCAAATTTTGCAGCAGACAATTCAATTACTTGTCATTCTACGTGAGACAAAGGAAAACCAACTTCCTTTTGTCTGTAAAACATCACCAAGTGCAGCAACCTTATTGTTCATACCATCTGCAACAGATTAAAATGAAGATTAAAAAACAAGAAATCAAGATTAAATTTTTTTTAAACCATAAATATCTGGGAACAAAAAATCGTAATCCGTGAAATCATTTTGCTTTTGCTTTCTGACACATTTATATTTACTGATTCATCAGCAACCAGGATGCGTCTCCATTCTATCAAAGGGGAAATGAATTAAGTCTAGTTTGACTTTAATTTTGTATAACTAAGAAGTCTTCATTTCGATCATGCTCTTGAACTAATTAAGTCTAACTTGATGCTGCAATCTTTTGTCCGGATTTCTAATCTTGTTATTAACTGATATCGGCAGGACAATCCTAACAATTTCAGTAGCCTTTCATTTTGTACTGTGGGTCTCACTTTCTACTTTTGCCTGGTATCTTCCCAAAACTTTCTCACCAGTTTTCCAAGATTTAGATCGTCAACGTCAACGTCTGGACAGAGATCGCCTTCTTCCCCGACTAGTCTCTCTCTCGCTTGTTATTCTTTGATAAATTGTCTGCAGCTTCAGTTGAACGGTATACCAAAATTTCAAGGTATAATTATTCTCAAGGGTTCTTTCCTGTCAAAATTTAAGGTATAATTTATTTCATTCATATATAAAGCACTTGCTTTGCAAAAAACCACCAGGATTTGCCCAATGACCTTCCTGCTATTAATTTCATGGTTCGAATCCTAGATCAAAATTTTGGGGGTAAAAAAGGGCACCTGCAAGAAGGGGATTTTGTTTTATTAATTCCTTCTGTTGTAAAATCTAACATTCTTTGGTCTGTTTTATCAGATGACAGATGCAATTTGGAAGGCCTTGGATATGATGCTGCAAATCATTGTGAGCATCATTGAGAAGGTCATATCTGAAGTGACAAGACTGCTTGGCAAGTTTAAAGAGAAGGTGGAGGACACAGTGGCTGAAAGGGCTGCAGAGGTATCGGTGGATACAGGGACAAGTTACTGGGGTTTGAGATCAGATATGGAATTGCTGGCTAGGAACTTGAGGGCATTGAGCAGCAGGGCATCTGACATAAAGGAGCAAGTGGAAGGAGGTGAGCTATCAGGACAAAAGAGGAAATCAGAGGTGAACAATTGGTTGGAGGAAGTACAAAAATTAGAGAATGATTTCATTGCATTGCAGAGAAGGGTACAACAGGAGAAGTTTTGGAAACTTTTCTTGGTTGGACGTGATGTGAGAAAGATGCAAGATCAGGTGGCCCAATTTACTGAGCAAAGCCGGCATTTTGACGGGCTTTTGCTGGAAAATCAGCTGAATTTGGAGAACCACAGTTGATGATAGAATTGATAATACATCATTATTTGGATGGACATTGAAGAAGAATGTTGAGAACAACTGATAATGGCTCTGGACTGGGAATCGATTTCCTTCGAGATCTTTTTTTTTTCCCTTTTTTTAAAATTTTTTTATGACTCTGTATTCTGTAAAACTGCAAGGGCCTGAGCAAGAGGAAAGAGTTAAAAATAAAATTGAGGTGAAATCTAAGCCCGGAGATTGAAAGAAATAGTGAACTTCACTTGTGCAAATCTTTTTAGTCTTTTGATTGATAGTATAAATGTTAATTGTTTTCCCTTTTCTTTTCTCATGGTCTAATACATAGTCTGGTAGTAATAACAAATAAATATAGAGTAAATATAAGTACTCCACTAAGATTTTGTGGTTACTAGATAAACATGCACCTCTATCGGTGTAGCAGTTTGAAAGGCTGCACGCGGTCCTCTTGAGGAGTAAATTCCCAAGAGTATGATCTTTTAAAAGAAATTTACAAAGAGTGGTAGTTTTCAAACCCCTTTTGAAAAGGTGACAAACGTATTCACTGAATATAATATGTTTCTTAGAAAAAATGCATTCACATAATGTTTTTTTTTCTAGGCATTTATTGTTCAAAAGTTGTATTCACTGGATATCTTTTTTAAGAACGCTTCAACTTATGAACTAATAACCATACTAAAGTAATTGAATTTGATTGAAAAATTCAAGGCATGTAAAGAATGATGTTTGCTCAAGTAAGAATTTTGTGCGGATCAAGTTGAGGCTAGACAAAAAGGGAAAATGTATACAAGTAATTTCGCAGAGCTTGACATTTACTCTGTAAATTTTTTTTAGTGGAAATTCTTGAATTTAGGATCTCTTACTTACGATCTCTCCCATCTTACCACACAATCCAACCCTTCCTCCAGCTTGACATCTACATAAAACCACTAACGTCGTATCCCCTAATATCTAGATGACATTGCTAGTGACATTAATTAAGGGGCAAAATACACTTTACCCCCTGTGCTATAGCTATTTTTCACATAATTCTCTATAGTTTTAAAAGTTATATATAACACCCCTTATAATTTGGATTAAAGTATCAAAATGACGAAAATGATCATTTGTATTGAAACCTATAAACATATCAAAATTACCCTTATTTAAAAACTAAAATGGCTTAAATGACCAAAATATATAAACATAATATGCATAACATTCTATCCCCGAATGATTTTATATTTTATTATATAACTCACTTATGATTTAGTGTTTTATCATATCACCCGCTTAGGATTTTCAAAACATATACATAACCCTCCCTATGGTTAATAAATAAATTTCAACATTACATAGGAGTATTTTTGGCATTTTAGTTGACTCTGTTATAGAATGCAAATTCTGTTACTTTGATACTTTAATCCAAATCATGAGGGGGGTTATGTATAACTTTTGAAACTATAGGGAGGCTATGTAAAAAAGTACTAAACTACAGGGGGATAAAGTGTAATTTGCTCTTCATTAAGTGAGTTTCTGGTCCAGTCCTTTTCCTCTTCTTTCTTGGAAGGTTTCTAGTTTCTTTTTAGGTTATTATCACTTTACCTTCCTAACCTTTATACCTACTATCAATTTATTTTCTAATGTTATCTTTTAGTCAGTTTACCCATTTCCGTTAGCCAAGTCAATAAGTTGATTGAAAAGTTGGCCATGTAGCTTTTTTATGTGTCATTTTTTATTTTTAGGATGAAAATATCCTTAAGCCTTGTTTCTTTTCTCTTTTGCTCATAACATATGCAACTGTCTTGATTTTTCTAATTCCTTTTCTCTTAAAATAAAATCCAGCCTTTTTTTAATCCTCTTTTTTCTTCAATCATTCACAAATCCCTTAATTTTTTAATTCTTTTTTCTTTATTTCTTGTTTCTTCTCTTAATTTGTTGGCTGCTTTAGTTACAAGGTTAAAATATGAAATTTTTCTAGACCTATCTGAACTTTTGGTGAGTCTAAACTTTATATTTGCCTATGTAATGTGCCTTTTTCCTGCCCAGTGCAATTTTGGAACAAATGGGCATTTTTCTCATCAATTATTATTTTGGGCTACATATGTCATTTCATCTAAATCATATAACACCATTTGCTTTGACCATTAGTCTTGGGGAAAAATTGACTAAAAAATAACATTATGGGGTAAATTGATAATAATTATAAAGGTTAGGGAGGTGAAGTGATAATAACCCTTTCTTTTTCTTTTTTTCTTTTTGGAATCAGAAAAAACAAAGATTAAAAAAAGGGACTAATGTCGTTTGTTAGTAGTTACCTTACAGATAGTAATATTCACTTTGCCAATAATCTCCTATAGCATGTAAGGATTTTACTCAAATTTCACTTAATATGATTCCACTTCCAAAATTTGAAAAGCCTTCCCTGCAACTTCCTGGATTTTCCTCTCCTCATGTTTGTCAAGGGGCAAGTCTTTTCCCTTTCGGTGGTGGTCCTCTGCTTTTAATGGAGTAGCTTTAATTGTCCAATCAATGTAGAAATTGAAAAGCAGTTCTGACTTAAGCTTTGATAATTTCATCCAAACTTTGAGAAAGTCTTTTAGATGCAATTTTCCTGGATGTTTCCTTTCGTCAATGTGAACGCCAAGCCCTTGTAATGCTGGTCCTATGCTAACTAATAATGGAGTAGCTTTTATTATCCATTCGTCCATACGAAAAGCATAAAGAAAATAAAGCACTAGTAAAAAATAATTAAGTACTGCGTTCAATTAATATAAAGATTGCCACAACCAACTGATGAATAGAAAGTAGTATAAAGCAAAAAGAGATTGAAATTAGAGGGGAAAAGTTGAAGACATGTCATTTCACCAAAATGTCACATTTTAATATAAAACATTTAAATACAATTTTTTTGGTCGGAAAATGTTTGTGTGAATTTGGCTCTAGTCGTTGCTACATATCAAAGTACATAATCTCAGGACCATAAGTCACTTATGCACACATATTTTTAGGACCATAGGTCATTTGTGAATATAGCCCTCGTATAAATAGCGAGATTCAAATGCATGACATTTTACGAAAAAATAATCCGTCCTCACCAATTAAATTAACTTAGTGTTAATGTACTGGAAATGAGGTTAGAATGGTTGCTAGTGACAACTGTTCCCAACTTTTAAATATCATATTGTGGCTAAAAAAGAAATTTAGAATGTACATTCCAAATAGCACCATATAACGTTAACACAATTGACATATACTTTTCATTATAAATGGAAATGGTACTAAGTGCCATGCATCCTCATTCAGAGAAGGCGTGACTCAAATGCATTTTTAAAATTTAAACAGTTCAACAACAAAACGATTTTTCTCTTCTCTTTTCGTTTTCTTTTTCCCCTGACTCCTCAACTATAGCTTTAGCACAAAGGAGGGTGGAAGGTGAAAAGAGCATCTGTTGTTTCAATTTTAAACACTTCGGCATGCTTTACTAGTTCCACCTTTTTGACATTGACTGACTTTAGCAAAGTCTTGAATCATAATTTCATAAATTGAACCATATGGTTCCTGCTGAGAAGCTACACGGATGGATGAAAAGAAGTAGCCGAATATATATAATTTTGCTCATAAAACTTACCCAAAGAAAGATGTATGTTTACAAACTTTCGACTGATTCCTTCATAACGAGTCTGATTTCCAAAACTTTCCCCGTGATCTCCCAATTTTTACTCTCTCTCACCAATGTTGATCATGTTCTCATTCATTCGTGCCTCTACATGAAAAGGTATTGAAAACTAGCCCACAAAGTAGAAGCCAGAAAAGGAAGTATTGGCGGGTTTGGCTGCTTATCATCTTTCTCAGCTTCTTCCAGTCGAAGCATACAAATAAGGGCTGAGATTTTTGTTTTCCAACATTTCAAGGTAACCAAAAATTGGTTAGCATTTTTTCTTTATCTTTTTGTTCATTTTGTCTCGTCTTATTGTTTTTATTTTTGTTGCATACTTGCTTAATATTAAAAAATCGTTTTGAGTATATTGTTGCATGAACAGTTGGGAGTTAAGGACATCTGAAATTTCATAAAAAGATGTATGTGGTCAGTTGCATATTATTGACTTAAAAGAAAGTCTCGTTTACTTGTCTTTTTGCAATTTTTACTTGCCATCACATAAATTATTAATATCACTTGAGCTGTTGGCTTATGGAATCAAAGATTGGTTTTTGTTATTGCACTGCAGAACTGAAAATTTCAAAAGCATTCATACGTGTATATTGTTTGAAATGATAATCAGGAGTTGTTAATGCCAAGAGGTGGCTCAACCTTCTTTTTTTTTTTTTAATAATAGCTTTTCATTAATTAGCATCTAAGTTGGACTAAAAGAGAGAACTCTCATATACTTACATCAGCTATATTAACTATACATTCCATTACAAAAATGAAGAAACTTGTACCAGTGAAATACAAAAAAAAACTAGCTAAAACAAGATAGAAAGAATCAGGTACTCCATTTTAAGCTGCAAAGCAAGGGTCCAATCCCATGAAAATTATTGGCATGTTATAGATGAATGCACATCCTATAGCTGACAAGAAATAAATTGATTCTTGTTTACAGTTTAATTGTGAATTTGGAATCAAATAAAGCTTACATTTCCATTATGCACTAAAAAATATGAAGTGCCAAAAGGGCAGATCAAGGAATAGGGACTCTCCTTTTCTGACCAAAAAAGTAAAAATAGAAAAAAAAAAAAAAAGGAGTAGGGACTAGTATTCAAAAGTATTTTTGTCAGATATCTTCCTTCCAAAGACTTTCTCGATGTTCACTGGTAACTTTCCACCTCCTCTCCTCGTCCAATTAACAATGATAACTGTTCATTTACAACAAGAAGTGAAGCTACGCTTCTTAATCAGGAGAATTTAGGGTCCCCCTTAGACTGACTTTAGGGTCCGATTTGGCGTTGCCTCCTGAGTGTTTCTAATCTAACTGTATGTGTTTATTTCTTCTGTCGATGGAAAGAAAAAGACCATATATTTGGCGAGGGTGTGCTCGGGGGGATGGGACACCATCCCACATCGAAAGATCGTGGGGTAGTTACTCTGGGTTTAAGGTCCTCAGCCGCATCTCCTGTCACCAATTGGTTGGATGGTGTTGGTTTGTGGGTCCCCCTTAGACTGACTTTAGGGTCCGATTTGGCGTTGACTCCTGAGTGTTTCTAATCTAACTGTATGTGTTTATTTCTTCTGTCGATGGAAAGAAAAAAAAAATCAGGAGAATATAATATAGATAAAATAATATGATTATATATATATATATATATATATCTATATATATATATATATATATATCTATATATATATATATGATTATAGATAACATAGAAAGATATCCTTTTACCAAATAAATAAAAAGAAAGCAAAAGGTAATTAGAAAGAAAGATTACATTTTATTTTACCAAAATTTCATATTATATGGAGAAATGAATTCACAAAGAACAAAATAATTTTTAAACTTTATTTCATGTTGAATTATTGGTTCAAAATTCAAAAAAAATAATTAGTAAATTTATTATCAGCATTGTATACATATAAATAAAGTCAAATAAAAATAGAGGTGGACACCCATGCGTGCACGTGCAGGGGTTGCTACGTGGAGGCGGACGGAGCTTTTGGGAGATGGGCGACAAGGGGGAAGGCTCCCCGCTTCAAGCCCACTAGTTGCCTACCCTAGATAATTTCATTTCCAAAATTTGAAAAGCCTGCCTGCAACTTCCTGGATTTTTCCTCTGGACAATTCGTCAACATCAATGGCCGAGTCTTTTCCCTTTCGGCGGTGATAGCTTTTAAATTTTAATTGTCCGTGCAATGATGAAAAGTGAAAAGCAAATCATCTGCAACATCTATGCACTACCACCGCTACTTCTAAGCACCCACTCGAACGACTAAACTACCAGTTCATCCTGCAAAGAATCTTTGCTTCCCCCTTAGACTAATTGATCTTTTTTTTTTTTTTTTTCTCTTGGTCGGATACGATAGTTTCCTACACTATAGGGGAGGGGAGAACCTGAAGAAGTTCTGGGATAACCGAAGGTCTTAGACTAGTTGATCTTATGTTGTTAGAAGGCTCATTTCAACTAAATTTTGAAAAATTTGTTCACTAACAAAACCCAAGAAAAGCCCTTTCAAAGTTTTATATGAAAATGAAAAAACAATCCTGACAGCATTTGCTTTCTCATGCCTCATGCTTATGTCTTAAAGTTTTTTTTATTAAGTTGTGATCACTTTGATTTTTCTACCGATCAATTTGTCTAAGGGTAATTTCTATTCGAACAGTTTTCTAACAAAATATAGTATACGATTAAAAGATGCTATCAATTAATTACTTGGCATGAGTGCTGAATCAATATGCATGAAAATTAAATAGTCATGTAATTTTTCTTATAATTAAAGCACAATATCTTAAAATTTCTCATAGCTTGGAAATTTAAGAAATCGTATTGCATAAGCCAAAGGATAAAAACACAAATACATACTACGGAATCGATGGTATTGAAGTTAAATTTGTCTCTATCGTAATATTTAGTATACGTAGTAGACATTCTTTGAAGAGAGTGTACACTACTCAATAGATAGTAGGGACAATTTCAGAAACATCCCCTCAAGTTTCTGACAATTTCACTAACATTTCCTGAAGTTTGTAAAATTACACAAACCTCCCATGAGGTTAAGGCCAATCAAAAAAAGGAACATTAGAAAAGTGCTTTAAGGAGAGAGATGAACATTTTATTCCATAAATACCTATTATGCATGTATATAAGTTGTATTAGTAAAAAACAAATATTTAAAAGTTAAAAACAATTAATACATATATATATTACCACTCAAAAAGTTCACATTTAATAAATTAGACAATACAAATAAGCAACAAAACTACACTAATGAAAGTCCCCCTCCTCCTACTCCTTCTACTTTTTTGAAAAAAAAAATATTTAGGGAAAATGTGTTTGGAAAATGTGCTTGAGCCATTTTTATCCTAACATATTTTAGGGTACACTCCTATTGCCTATTCTCTTTAGATCTTTAATTTGATGAACTCAAAATTAAAAAAAATTGAAAAAAAATTTACACAAGTTATCTAACTCAAAGGTTTTCGTGCATAGTTTTTCTTTTTAGGTTTTCGTGCATAGTTTTTCTTTTCGTTTTTTTTTTTGGATAAACAAAGAACATGCATTTTCCTGATGAATTTTGTTTAACACATGAATCATGCACTTAAAAAAAATAGTTAGCTGCATCAAGTGGGTTAAATTTACACCACAAAATCAATGGTTCTTAGAGATATTTTGTACATGTGATGTGGGCTTAGACCTTAGTTTTTGCCGAAAAATTTATGCCAACTCTTCTTCAGAATCCCATAAAGTTTGGAATTAAATATTACACAGGAAAAGTATTTCGGAATTAAATATTACAGAAGAAGAGTATTTCGACGAACTCAATGTTTACAAACATAAACGAGAAATGGAGATTGGGTGTGGGATAATGAGAATCCGTAAGGTAATATATAGAAGTGTTCGGTAAAATTATTGAAACTCCAAAATTTGTGGGTTTAGATATTCTATGATCAATTTAGTGCTTCAAAAATTTTTTCTTCTTAGTTTTTCAAAATCAATCTTTAGAATTTTTTGTCATTTCTCCAATTATTGAATGAACTATTGTACTTTTGTCAGTCAGAAGAATCCTAGATTAGCTTATTGCCAAAACAATTATTAAATTGAGTGACAAACATTTTCTTTTTCTGGTTATTAATATTTACTAAACAATGACCTACCCACAGAAAAAGAAAAAAAAAACCTAAACAATGTGTAGACTAAATTCAGTTTCATGGTAACTTTGATGTTTTCTTCAATTTTAATTTTCAGATTTGCTTCAATTTGCCTTCTGCACCTAAGTTTGATATATTTTTGCATTCTAGATGATACAAGTATTTGGGAAAGCTTTGGTAGAAAAGACGGCAGAGTTGATTGTAGTAGATTACATGGGAAGGAGCGACATGGACAACATGCAATCGCTGAAAAGGAAATGGCAAGAATTGTGCTGCAAAGCATCTGACGTAGAAGAAGAAGTGAAGGGAGAAGAAATGTCAGGTAAAAAGAAAAGGAAACGTGAAGTTGATGGTTGGTTGAAGGACGTTAAAAAATTAAGTCCTGAAATTGATGCATTGGAAAGAAGAGGATCATCTTGGAGGCTTCCACTAAAGGAGGATCCTGTAGGAAAGCTGCAACTTCAGGTGGAAGAACTTATTCAGCAGAGCCACCATTTCAATGGGCTTGTGCTCGCTACTTATGACAAAATTGGGGAGCCATGCCTGCCAACCAAATTGTTTGGAGTAAAGTTCGAGGAAGCTTTGCAGAGAATTTGGCCATGCTTGGTGACCGATGATATATCAAGCATTGGGATTTATGGTATGGGTGGAGTTGGTAAGACCACACTGGCAAAGCACATCAAGTACCATCTCTCAGAAAAACCCAGTTATCAAGTGCTTTGGGTTACAGTATCTCAAGAGTTCAGTGTCACCAGTTTGCAGGATAAGGTTGCCAATGTCTTAGGCATTGGTCGTCTATCAAGTAGGGACGAGGAAGAAGTCAGGGCAGATATATTGCGTGGGGCATTCAGCAAAATGAAGAGATTAGTAGTGCTCATATTGGATGATGTTTGGGAAGAATTTTGTTTAGACCGGGTAGGGATTCCTCTTCATCCAAACAAGTGCAGATTGATTTTGACTACACGCTCACGGGAAGTGTGCGACAGGATACAATGTCAAAGAAAATTTGATTTGCAAACTTTGAACACAGACGAAGCTTGGGATTTGTTCAAGTATAAATTTGGTAGCGAGACCTTGCTTCACGGAGATTTGGAAAATATTGCCAAGTCTATTGTGCGAAGGTGCGGTGGTTTGCCTCTGGGTATTGTCACAGTGGCTGGAAGCATGAGAGGTGTGACCGACATTTGTGAGTGGAGAAATGCATTGGAACAATTGAAAACATGTTCAATAGGGTATGATGAGATGGAAAAAAAGGTGTTTCGCATCCTGGAATGGAGTTTCAATCGCCTGAATAAATGTGAAAAGAATTGCTTCTTGTATTGCTGTCTTTATCCGGAAGATAGTGATATAAGGAGAGAGGACCTAACAGACCTCTTTATTTGGGCAGAGCTGATGCCAAAACGGGACTCAAGAGCAAAAGAATTTGTTGAAGGTCACACAATATTAAACAAACTGATAAAAGTTTGCTTGCTAGAAGAAACTAAAGATTTCGGAAGGAGTGACTGTGTGAAGATGCATGATTTGGTCAGAGATATGGCATTAAGAATCACGAACGGAAAATCCAACCTACAGATGAACGGGGATGTACCACGGTTCTTGGTGCAAAGCATAGGAAAGGGAAATTCTAAAGTAACACTGGAACCAAAAAAATGGGCAGAAGATCTCCATGCAGTCTCCTTTCATTCATTTTCATATCAACAACCAGAAATAAAAGTTCCGCCAGCCTGGTCACCAAATTGTCCTAAACTATCAACCTTGCTTCTTTCTCGGGTTTCCATAAAAGAAATCCCAGATTCATTCTTTCAGCACATGTGTGGACTTAAAGTTTTGAATCTACAAAACTGCAAAGGTATAACAGAACTGCCTAATTTTGTTTCAGACTTGGTGAATCTCACTGCTCTGATTTTGGAGGGTTGTGGAGGCCTCCGATTTGTGCCACCACTGGGAAAGCTCAAGCAATTGAGGGATTTGGATCTATCCAGAACTGAGATTGAGGATTTACCTGAAGGCTGGGAGTCACTGGTCAACCTCGAAAGTCTTAACTTGCGTAAGTGTTGGGCTCTAAGACGAAAGATAATACCAAAAGGGACATTTTCCCAATTTCACCGTCTTCAATGGCTATTATTGCCATATGGTAGGGTACAAGTTATGGATTTAGAAGTGTTGAACCAATTAGAAGTTTTTATAGGATGTTTGTCTTTTACGGACTTTTATAAAATTACTCGGTGGCCAAAATACTATAATGTTTATATCAATGACATCTTAACTAAGGATCCGTTTTATGACGGGGACAGTGATTGTGAGGACCAGGAGAAACAACTGTATTTCCATCAGTTTAAGCTTGGTAGAGGATGGAACTATCTGCCAGATGACATGAAAAGTCTGACAATCGAGGATTGTGAGGGCATGGTCATTAGGTGCTTGTCAGATGCTTTTAGGAATTTTACAAATTTAAGCGACTTATCTAAATTGGTTATTGAGGATTTGATTGGAATAGAGTTCCTCTGGCAATTGTCCTTTGCTTCTCCACGTGATCAGTTGGAAGTCTCGTCTTTTAGTCCACTCCGTGATCTCCAAGTGCTAAGCCTCAACGGGTTGCCAAATCTGGTTGGTCTTTTTTACAGAGACTCAGAACCATATTTGCTTCCAGCTAGCACCTTTTCTTCCCTTAAAGAATTGTGGATTTCTAGATGTCACAACATGAAGCAGCTATTCACACTGCAGTTGCTGCAGAACCTTCAAAATCTTGAAATATTAGGAGTTGAAGATTGTGAAGGACTGGAGGAGATAGCAGCAGATGGCATCCAATTGACTTCAAGTGGAGCCACCGCCACAGTCATCCTTCCAAAATTAAAGTTTTTGAATCTGTGTTGGCTGCCACAATTGAATAATATTTGCAAGGCAGCCTTGATCTGCAATTCAATCTGTCAGATTGAAATATCCGGTTGTCCAAAGGCAAAGAGGCTGCCTTTGTTTCTTCCTACCATCAACGGACTACCATCTCTTCCTAGCACTCTTCATAAAATCAAGGGAGATAAAGAGTGGTGGGAATCGTTAGAGTGGGAAAATCCTTGTGCCAAAAATGCCCTTGACCCATATTTTACCACGCAGTAGCGGATCCCATTTCTTTGATGAAGACCACCTGTTTGATCAAAATCCTGACGGATTCTCATGTACGTGTTTTCTCCCCTTCCTTAAATGTTACCAACTATCCCCTTTCTTTGAGCTTTCTTCCCCAAAATGATCTGCTTCTCCACTAGCATAGAATTTGCGATTGTGTAGGAATCGAGATTAACACTTTTTGTAATGAGCTCAAGGTTTTTTTTTTTTTTTTTAACTTTCTTGAGGTGCAGAATTGCTAACACCTTTTGAGTTGATCTGATGAGAAAATGGATTTAAGTATATTAGTTTCTCTTTCTCTCTTCTTATTTATTTTTGAGTTCAACATAATTATAAATTTCCCTGTGTTATTTTCTTTTTCCATTTTAAGCTGTTGCATGTTCTCTGAAAGGCTTAAGTTTTCCTCTACTGGGTACCTTTCCTATAATGCTGAACTACGAACTACACCCTTTCTTATATTCATCCATACTAGGAGGCATGGACCGCGCGCTGCGCGGTTGCAATTTATCATGAATGCCCATAAAGCATCTGTAATATGTAATATAATTTGAAAAATAAAAAAGAAATTGATTTCGTTAGATAACACAAGCCAATTACTAATGCACATCAACAACATGACAAGCATTTCAAAAACTAATATACGGTCTCAAATCATCACAAACTTGTCAAAGAAAGCTAGATACATATAGTATGAGAAAACTTGCACCCTTTTCACATAGGCAGCATATACAGTTTGCCTTAGTAGCTAAAAAGAAGACTATTATGTTACATTTCTCTATTTTGACACTTGCTATAACGATTACATGCAACAGAAATTCACTTCATTAAGCATAAACAACTATAAGGTCACTCGTCAGTCGCCATCAGCAACACAAACTGAGCCAAATTGCACTTGAGCCTAGGTTTTGAATGTCTTAGAAGTCCCATGATAAATCTACACCATAAGCTTTCTCCTTTTTAGATGTAAGTATCAGCCCATCCTATTAAAATTACAATAGGGAACAGTTAGTTATCATCCTATTTATACCAGTGAAGAACCAAAAACACAACAAATGAAATCAAGGTTTTAAGAAAGTAAAAGTTGGCTTGGAATCTATGAAGCCTGACCATGTAATGCTCAATATAAATACCTTCAATATCATAGTTGAAGGCCCAACCAAGTTTTTTCCTTGTTGAGAGTGTAATTTGAGTTACAATCATGAACACCCAGTGCAATGTGGATGGATGGCTTCAAAACAGAGAACCATATCAGCCATTTCATTAACGCTTACCATTTCATCCCTGCCACTAATAAAATTGAAGAATATTAAGTTAAGATTAATTTTTAAGTTAATAGGGAGAATTATAGTGTGTATACTCAACCAAGCATAACTGCACAGATACATAATCAGTATTCTTAAATAGAATTTCACTTTCAATTAAATAATATAGTGTATGCTCAACCAAACATAACTACACAGATATGAACCAAAGTTGGAACAGTAGAACCCCCTTTGGCTCTATGTCTTATATGTTGAAAGTCCAACTCAAAGAAAACAAAATGGGAAAATAAATGGCCAGACCCTCTTTACTGCTTGGAAAATATCGATATCACCTAAGAGCACCTTCAATGCATGCAAAAATAATGTTATAAAATTGGTAGACTACAACAGGCATTGAATCAGATTCATTAAACTTCGTATTCATTAACAATTGCTTAATATCAAAATAAAGGCATGAGTTGAGGCATAGAAAAACCTAACATTCTTTGCTAGTATGTGCATTTAAATAAACCTACCAAATGGCATTTAACCAACAATATATCACCTCAAGCATAGAAAATGATCTGTGTGTACCTCTATTTATTATAGTCCTTGTGTTCATCTCCTAATATGTATATGATAGCCATTGGCATAACAAAACTTCAGTAATCCGGGAACATTGTAGACCTGTGAATTAAAGATTCATTAGCTAAAATGAAACCTGTATTTTGGGCATACATGAGCAAATACCTTGGCCTTGCATTCAACAAACCAAAAAATTAGGTTGAGTGGCTATCTAGATTGAACCTAAAATTGGTTAGTAAAAAACCAAAACTTTAGAGCATGAACTAATTAAGTGAAAAAGTAGTACTGCTGCTACTTTGGTCTGAAAATCTGGAACAACTTGTAATTAAAAACAAGCATGTTTTGTAATTAATCTTATAAGTAAATAACACCCACATGTGCTGTTATTCTCCTGCACATAGTGAACACTTAATAGGGAGGAAGTTTAAATATGTCTCTTGAAAAGCACTCTCTAAGACGATCATAGACTTATCTCACTGGATTTTAAAAAAAGGAAAAACAAAATCAAGGCACGATTCAAACATCAGTAAGAAAAAAGATTAAAGAAAGGGTCACAAGAAACTAACGCCAAATACCAAAATCTGCAAGCAAATTGGACACCATCTACCATAGTCTCAATACAGCTAGCCTACAAGGCACATTTATATAGCAATAAATCAAGAATTCTTGAATTTCAGAAACACAAAATTGGCATAAAACTTAAAACACACAAAACCATAATCATTCAGATCAAGTGAGAAAGGAAAAGCAAATGAACATAAAAAAATGAACTCAAAGAAAAAGAAAAAGAATTTAACACAGGGAACAAGCACCACAGGCCAACCGACCCATTAGATTTGACTATCTATCTAATCTAATGTGATTCAATAGAAAATGAAATTAAACATATGCAAACTTAGTAAAAAGAAATTAAAGTACATTGCAAGTGCTTCAATCAATTCATGAAAATAACAGTCCATTTTGATTGACATCAAATAAAAAGCTTTTTAGAGAATTACTTCACCTGACATAGGTATTCTTAACCATCCAACTTTCTTGAAGTCAGGGTTCAAGCAAGTGAACTACGTATAGCATTATTGTCATGTCATAATAAATGCCTAATCTTAGATTCTTTTCAAGTAAAACCTGGCCAACAGTCTCACAAGCACAATGTGTGCAGGAGGAAAAGAACAAAAAAACACCTGGGAAAATTAAGATACAGAATAAGGAATTGCAAACACAATATAATCTGTGCCAAATGGGGTCAAATAATTATAATAGAAAAACCAAACAACGAATTTTGGTCACCTTCAAATCAAGGTGATGGATGTTAAATGAAGACTCCACAAAATCACAAACACCACTCAAATTACCAAATATCGAACAAGAAATAGAAAAGAGGTGAACTGTACATAAATAATAATTTTGAAATAATTGAGTGCGCAGACTTTAATTTCATTTTTTCTTTGTGGGAAATCGATCTCTCTAAAATATCAGCCTTTTTTCTTGTCATACACAATAGTTGATTCAAGCGTCAAACAGAGCATTATCGGCAGTAACATTTTTTTCAAAATTCCATCGAACAACCCATTTTCCTACTTCTTAAAATTATTACTCCGTAAGTGCATTGTTTCTATGCCGCTTAATGTCAGAAAAAGGGAGAATTCGAGCATATCACCATAATATAATTTTTTTTCAAGAAAAAAGGAAGTAATGAGGGATTACCGATGGTAGAGCATGTTGCTTGATATGGCTAGCTGCTGATTGTAGTCATGGGGCTTTAATCATCTTTAGTTGCAACACATTTTTCATTCTAAAGAAAGGTTTAAATCAGTTACAATAATTTAAAAAAAAAAAGAAAAAAACACAAGGAAGTAAAACCATAGAATTACCAATGTTGAGTATAGGAATAGCCAACTAACATGGCGATGGAGCTTTATTCACCATTAATCTCTATATTAACTATTTCTAATGAAAAAAATGCAGATCTGCTTGAGATCATATTAAAGAAAAAGATAGAAGCAAATATGAATATCAATAAAAGGAAAGAGAAAGAGATAAGATAATGGAAAGGAAAGAAGGAAATAAAAGGAAAGAGAAAGAGATAAGATAATGAGAAGGAAAAGAGAGATCAGAAAATTTTTTTGAGAACAAAGAGGAGCAGCAGACCAACAGAGGGAGAGCACAAAAATCCTAGCAGAAACTATAGAAAAAGAGAAAGGATCGGTAAAGAATTGAGATAAGAGAAAAGTTTGGAGAGAGAATCCTTATACTATATCACGTGGGAGGCTCGTGAGGACGACCAAAAGCTTGTGAACAGTAACCCTCATTCGGAGGGAAGCAGCAAAGGACGAAAATAGCAATTCTAGGCTTAAAATACAGAGAAAAGGCAAAACGAAGGATGGTCCTCAGCGGAAAGGAAGGTGAAGACTTACTACGAACGAGGAGGAGATGAACCAAACGGCTGGCAAGAGCGAACCTCTCCCGAGAGCAAGACAGGAGCCACTCGAAAAGGGAAACAATGGAAAAAAGAACAAAAAACATCAGTCCCCAGGTTAAAAATTACAGAGGAAAACTCATAGCGAAGACCGCACCTCGCCTGAAAGGAAGAAGAAGAAAACTTACGATGGAGAAGGAGGAGGAGCACCGACCGGATGGCAGCTGATCTGGACAACTGAAACCAAGAGAACCCGAGCAACAGAGGACCGATACTCCTTGCGCGGCTCGAGAAGGGAAACAAAGAACAGAGGACAAAAACATCACCTTCAGGCAGAAAGCTCACAACGAAGATGTACTTCACCGGAAAGGAGAAAAAAAAAAGGAAGAAGAAGAAAACTCACAACGGAGGAGAAGAGGAGGAGAACCAAACGTCCGGACCACTGCAACCCAGAGAACGCGAGAGAACGAGGCTCGAGACTCCCTGCTTGGTAAGAAGAGAACCGGCCATCTCAACACGCTCATGTACAAGGGGTAAGAACAGAGCAACATTGTCCAAAAAAGAAGGAGAGAGAGAATGCATTGGGAAGAAGGGGCCTGTGATACTGCCAGATAGAGAAACAAGTCTATCAACGTGACAGACGACGCAGCAGGATGCGCAGCAGCAGGTTGAGAAACAAGTTTTTAATGCGAAGCAGCAGGAGGCACATGGGTACCGGCAGAGGAGAAGAAGCGCGCGATGAAGAAAACAACGCTCTCAATCACATGCGCGGCACGTGAGAGGACGACGAAAACCTCCAGGTCATCACAGCTCTTCGCACGTTATCTACTTATGTTGATAATCTACTGCATACAGCTTTTTAATATTTTTTAATATTTTCTTATTTCTGTAAATTTAAATATTTTATTTTCTATCTCTTTCCTTCTTCTTGTTTGTTTGTTATTTTCTTTTTTTTCATTTCCGCTATTGAAAGTTGTCTTGTTTTTCCCCTTCTCTTAACAGGCTTTCTAGATAAAGTTAAAGGGTATACATGTTGGCATATGTTTAAATT